AAGTTATTACGCGTTTTCTATATTGCGATTGTTTTGTATTGAAATAAGGCAAGAGGTATCAGGACTCAAAAGTTAGGAAAAATAGTAAGCGAGGAAATAAATGGGGTTTGTTTCTAGAAGCACTGGGAAGGTTTTGCCGGCGGTTCGTGTTCACCCCGGTGGAGTTCTTGGCTCTGACATGGAGGCTCTAATATCGTGAATGTATGCTATAGCTGTATTTATCACTTGTTGAAATAATATGTCGATACGCCGATTATGGTGCAGTTTAAGATCTAATCGGTCGTCTGCACGGAGTTCGTGATGTGCACGTGCAGAAAGTTGTTTGGTGTTGACGTGAGGGACTTGGATGTTAATGCCACGCTGCTCGCTTTCGTCAAATACCGCTTGGGCAGCAAATGATTCGATACGGTAGTTCAGCATTGAGATTCCTTAGAGACAGACAAAGTTAGGCGGGGTGTGGTTTACTAGGACAGTAAGCGACTTTTCCGCTTCTCGCACCCGAAGCTTTTCGCTGCGGGAATCCATGGTCCTCCACTGATCAGGAGTGGACTGGGGTTCTCGCAGCACAAAAGTTCGCGTTGCGAAAATCGGAAGATTCGCGTTCTGTTCTAGTGAACTGCACCCGCTAAATGCGTCTGTAAGGGGACGACGTTAGTGAAAATGTTGTTGTCGAGTCAGCTGCTGCTCACGCAGCACACGGCGGAATGAGCCGCGCGACATTGCCGCCTAGTCGATGTGCACTTGGTCTAAGGTACCGCGCGATATCGCGTCTGCTGCTCGCAGACGACCGAAGTATATCGAAAGTAATTCAGTGTGGAACACATAATGATGCATCGATACTCATACCTTCTAGTCAAACATAATATGTGTAGCTGCATAGCTTGCGTTAACGTAATGTAGCGTAGCTTTGTTAGTGTTAATTTTGCAGTTCTAACCATGTCAGCTAATGCGTGTAGTGCTTGTACGGTCTCTCAACGATTAATTCAATAAAAGCATTATCTTTTGGTCTCTATCTTTTATTGTT